GTCAACTTCTCGTAATGAGAATCCATCTTGGCGCCCATCTGTTCCTGATTGGAGTCCATCTTGGCATCTGTCTTTCCTTGATTGGCTTCCATCTTGGTAATCATATTTTCTTGATTGGCTTCCATCTTGGCCAGCAAACATTCCATCATTTATTCCATTGTTTAGTATGACAATATAGCTACCTACTGCGATCTCCAATCCAACAATTCGCTCAATCCTGTCGCAATTGACACCAGTTGTCATGTGACGGAATGACTATAGACAGGGTTTGGATTGGTAATCGGATTTATTGAACTCTTTAATACACAACTCGTGACTACATTTTACAAATCACTGTCACAAACAGACTGGTGTTCTCAGTCTGTTACAGTCTCCACTAACCGTTGCTTGGTAGCGGTTTTCAACGGCGGAAGTTCCCCTTCCTGAATTATCTCTGGCCTCAGCTACCAGCTTCTCAAAACAGCTCACAACTACTGAACTGCAGCAGTCCTCTAACTAGTTCACTCACTCACAAATTAAATCTTCACCTCACTGATTCCTTGCCAACTGACTCCTCACTAATTCTAGCTCCTAACTTATCCTGCTTAAAACATCTTGGCACGGACCGTGTAAAAATTGCCGCTTCCCATTATTGATATATCTTCTTGTTGCCATGGAACTGTTGCATTGTTTATTGCGGAGCCGTTACCTAGCAACGGTCGTTGTATAGTTGCTTGTTTCATGGTTGTTGTCTATTAACGGATCTAAATGTCACAATATATCAGTTTAATTTAAGAAAACATTTCATATCGTGTATTTACATGAATAGCAATGGCAAATATCATTTATCTGTATTGTGATATAAATTTGCCGCTAATTGGCCTTGTCAACATTTGACTTTATGAGAATACGTGGGGGCGACAGCCACCAACTGTAGATTTATGTCAACAATAAGCGATCACTAAAGATCACTGGGAAAGTTAAGCGGAAATTTATACTCCAAATTGAACTAAACCTATACTGTCAGTCATGTTCATAAACGTTACTATTCACTGGACTTCTAAGCTATATGGTGAAATGTTAATGTGTAAAAAGCTAGCGGACAGTTCAATAATGAATCGCTAATTACTGAGACAGCAACTAAGTTGTGTCAGTATCGAATTCATACAGAGATACTGGGTTTTCGGACTTTGTCCGTTGTCCGGATTCTAAAGAAATAAGAAGAAAAAAACACAACGTTTCGGATACTGGATCTGTTTCCGTCTTCAGAGATAACCTCAATCACTGGACTCAATCACTCAATCGTCCAGTGATTGAGGCTATCTCTTTCTAAGGAACCCAAGAGAGTAGGTGTCATCTCTCACCTGAAGACGGAAACAGATCCAGTTTCCGAAACGTTGTGTCTCTTCTTAGTTATTTAGAATCCGGACGATGGACAAACTCCGAAAACCCAGTATCTCTGTGTGTTATACGCCATCGTCAGAGACCTATAGTATCTACCCAATTCATAATTCAGTACTTGCATTTCAGTTATCTCTGTAAAGATCCTAAGAGGAAAGGACGTGTGCTCCATGTAAGCTAGGAGTTTCATTTGGAGGGAATGAGGACATTTGAAACAAGGTCGCGAGTAGAATATCCGGAACTAAGAAACGTAAAGTAATTGGAATATGCAGAAAATTACAAAATGAGTACCTTTGTTGTCTATACTCTTAACCTAATGCTCGTAGTATTAAGGAAACCAAGTCAAGGAAAATGAGATGGGCGGTACATGCAGCACACTTGCTTGCAGATGTGAAGGGCGGAAACAAAAATGGACATCTGTGTATAGGTAAAGTTGTCCCTGTGCTTAGCTAATTAAGCACAACGCCATGAAGGCGTATGGGGGAGTTGATGTGTAGATCCACATTTGCGTATCTTCTTTAATTCGATACTCCTCACGAACTGTGCTACCATTCGACTGTGTATGACCTCTAGTACTGATGCTGCAGGAATCTGCTGCAAGTGAACGCCGAGTTAACTGTTCGTGGAATCGAAAAATATTTCCTTTGTTCCCCTGTGATCTATTTTCGAACTGTTATCATATCTTTCGCTCTAACAGATTATAGATATCTCCTTTGATTAGAAGTCTAATTCTTCATCTGTCTACATTGACATGGCGTAACGTTTGTGGCCTACAGATAATTTTGAAGCTGAATTTTCTTCTTCAGTTGAAAAGAAGTTGAAAAGTTGAAGAGTTGTATCTTCTGATATATAAAGCCTCGTAGACTGCTTAAATTCAGTCGACGTTTCGGAGTAGTATGTCGCGTCCATCTTCATGGTAAAAAATAAGCCAAGGTGGAAACCAGGGCGAAGTAGGTGGCAAATAGATCTTTTAGGACTAATCGCGTGTAGGTGGAAGGATACTATTAAAACGGATCTTAGAGGAATCCAGTGAGGGTATTGAAAGAATTTTCCTGGCTCAGGACAGGGGCCAGAGATGGGCTGTTATCATGACAGTTATGAACCTACGGGGCTCATAAAATGCTGAAAATACGTTATGTGGCTGAGCAACTGCTGGCTACCAAAGAAGGACTGTGGCTCGCGGAGTTAGTTGTTCTATATTTTACAAAAGACAACAACCCTAAGCAGGTTGAGATTGGGCCTCTGATTATGGAAGGTCGCGGTTTCAAATACCGATGAGGTCATTGAATTTTTTTCAATTGACCTAATCCTTCCAGCCGCACTATGGCCCTGGGGTTCACTCAGCCTCTAACAGAAATAAGTACCAGGAATTAATTAAATAATTTTACTGGGGAGTAAAGCGCGGCCGGCGCGTAAGGCTGACAACCTTGCCGCCATCTTTGAGCCGATTTTCTAGATAATGTGGGACTCTCAACGTCTCAAACCCTATGGGCCTTCACGGCCTGGTACGGGGATAGCTTTACTTTTTTTTTTTTTTAACGATACAGTCCCCAGAAGTCTCACCGGCGGACGGGAGAGTTGAAATCACAATTATTCGAAGAGGTCAGTCTTCTGGGATAAAATGCCATGTAGCCCGGTGAAGCAAGCACTAAGCCGAGCACTCCTTCACACCTTCTTCATGCTGGTTTACTGCTTAGCTCTTGTAATATTTAGAAATACACACATTTGAATAACTTCGTTTTTTTGTGTTTGTCCATTTATGTAAAAATGAGAGGAAATGATGATATTAAATTCAACTCTAATGGTGCAAGAAAAATCTTTCTGCTATTTCCTTCGTTGCACATCCATAAACAGACAGAAATCTGAAACGTTCGTGCATAAGTGGATACTAATCAAAGAATGTTTTCCAGTCAATCAGAAATAATGTTTCATCAGACTTCACAGAATACAAGAAACAAGATTCTTAAGGATATCAATTCTCTGAGGATCCGAATGACATTAGATATTTTAGCTAATCCTGGATATTTAAATATATTTCCTTCTGACCATAAATACATTTACCGTGTATAAGGTGAAGTTGTTCCTGTGCTTAACTAATTCAACACTCCGTCATGAAGGCTTATGAGAGTGGATGTATAGATCCACATTTTCTTGACCTCGGTACTAGCTGGAGGTGAGTGGTCAGCTTCACGCCTCGGCCACCTTATCCTCGGGGAAAATTCTTCTGTATCCATCGGATAGGAGGCTGGGCGGACCCCAAAGCCAGTCTGGACTCCTTGTAGAGAAGAAAATCTTGTCCTTACCGGGACTCAAACTTCGACTCCTCCGTCGTCAAGCCCGTAGCTAGTCGCTATAACGACTGAGCTATCCCGGCTCTTACACTTACCATGTGGGTCAGAAAATTATTGATTTGTTCTCGGACACATCCTAACAACCAGATATTTGAATCCGGTGCAAGGGCGACGGGTAGGTCTATGTTTGTATTTCCATTATTTAGTAATCATCTTTCACTAGAATGTAAAATGAGCTGGAGAGAAAGGAACAGACAAACAAGAAAATATAATATTTGTTTTCACCATATTTATTTTTAAACCATACATTCATAAAAAATTTCTCATGCCTACTCTTTAACTATTGAGTGTGACAGGAGTGCCAAAATTTTAGGCGCTACTTCCTTGATTAACACATTACTTAGTTTCATAAATTTTATAAATTTCTTCAGAACGTACTCGCACAGTTTTCGTGCCCAGAAACATGAACATTTCTGGAATACTTTTTGCCAGGTCTGTCGATTCATAATATTAATTAGCATTCGTATGCAGTAAATTTTGCAGAAAATACATGTCGTACATGTCGTAAATTCAAGTACAAACACACACACACATATGCAGAGTGTGAAAACCGTCCCTAGACTTCAGAAGGGACGAAATGTACTGTTACCTCTGCAGCCAGTAAAGCACTACTGAAGTTAGTCTTTCCGGTTCTCTTTCACGTGGTGAAATACGACAAGGAAGTAGAGCAATAAGACTGATTTACTTCCTTACATAATTTACTTAGTTACTTAATACGTTCCTCTTATACCTTACGGTGCTCAGGTTGTCTTTTTTAATTTTGATCATTTACAGACGGTAGGACTCTTTGGACGAGTGATTAGTTCGTCGCAAAGCATCTACCTAAACACAGGACAATATAAACACATACATATCCCAAACAACCATGGCTTTTGTGGGATTCGAACCCACGATCCCAGCTTCCGAACAAGCGAGGACAGTACATGCCTTAGATCGCTTGGCTACCGTGACCGGCTCCTTACATAATTTAAGTTCTTTATTTTGCGTTTCCTGACAGAGTGCAATTATACTTTACCATTTATATTAATGTTACTACTTTCTGAGAAGTCTTCTAGGGCACTTAGAATATGCTAACATCAGTCTCTTATTTTTTTATTGCTACTGGGGTGGAACTAAGTCCCACTTCTGACCTATTATACCAGCCCCAGATGATAGGTGAGGGTGATTGTGGAGCAAATGGTGGAATGAAGATTGGCAGAGAAACCGAAGTACTCGGAGAAAACCCGCTCCAGTGCCACTTTGTCCACCACAAATCCCACTTGACCAGACGCGGGATGGAACCCAGGCCGACGCGGTGGGAAGCCAGCGATTAATCGCTTGAGCTATGGCGCGGCCCAACGTTAGTCTTTTAAGATTTGTCTGTTTCATCAAACTAGAGAACAAGATTTGCTTTTTCCTCTTACGATACTAAACCCAGTGGTTGACACACCATTCTTAAATGAAAACGTCAATAGGCAAGAACAGTGAAGGCTCCTACAGTGTTATTTATTTTTCAAGTCGTGTACCTCATACAACAAAGCTAACATTTCTTCTATCATCTCACTAATTGTAAGTTCGTGCACCTTCTTTTTATTTTTATACTTGGCCACGACATTGAGTTCATTTCTCAGAGACATAGGAACATCCCCGTGTCCAATCATGATGTAACTCTGGTCGTAGAATATTTCATACATTCCTGCAGTAAGAGTTCTGCGGAAATATCTCTTTACCTCGTGCCATTCATAAAGCAACTGTGCCTGACTCCATAAGTGGTACACCTGCCCGTAGTCCCTGAGTTCATCACCGCCTCTAATAGCCAGTGCTACCAACATATTCAACAAAGCTATGATCACTATAAGTAAAAACAAACAAGAAGCGACAATGCTGGCAAACCTCATGCTGGACAGTGTTTCGGTGATGTAGGTGAGATACCCGTCTTCATCTGTAGCATCGGAAGTTCTGTTCCCATCGGATGTCTTAAGATCTCCTAATCCGCCCCCTTGAAGAAGTACCAAAGTTGTGTAGAGAAAGGTGTGCCAGAAGTTGTTGAAACTAGAGTCATTTTCTTCGTAGTATAGAACGAAGAAGGTCAGTGAGAACCCAACAAGAACGAACAAAAGAACCAAGGAATGTGTAAATATCTCCTTAGTGACGAATATGAACATTCCTGTTTGGTGACTGATCAAGTATATAGCATTGGAATACAGTGGCATAGACAGCCAGGAGAACAGGATAGATATTCCATACCACTCAGGGTTGTAAGGAATGGAGACCGTGACAAGGGTAAAAGCGGGCGGAACTACCGTTAGAAGGGTTTTGCTAATTCGTCGATACCACGAATACTGCCCGGGAAGTAAATATGGGACACAAAAGAGAGCCACGTGGATAGACAGAAAGCTCACCATGACACGCATCATCGTTGACAACGTACTACTGGGAGGCGAGGAGACGAATACAGTTAGGATTAAGAGATACAGGAGATAAACTGAAAATCGATACCACAAGACGTATTTGCACTCCTCCCATTCCAAATGCATGAGCGTCTTTAACAAAGGGTGAAGAAGGAGTTTCTTATTTTGCCTGTGATGTGTATACAGTCTGTTAGCGACCGCCATTTTGTTCATGGCTTTAGGACAAAGTACTTTGAAAGAGACCCTGAGCTCCTCCTTCCCTTCGCTTAGCATATGCACCTCAATACTTTCATCCAGAATCTCTCTCAGAAGATCCTCTCCGTTTGGAACATTATTCAGAACCATGTACAGTGCTGTGTACTTGTCTTTGTTCGTCAAAAGCAAATTTGCCCCACTTTCACTTAAATATCTGACACTGTCTACTGAGCCTGACATGGCTGCATAATGTAAAGGGGTGTTTCCGATTTCATCTTCCAGGGACACTGTGCATTTGTTTTCAACAAGTAATTTTATGCACTCCACAGATCCGGACTGAGAAGCTAAATGGAGCGGAGTTCTTTTGCTTGAATTTTTTAGATTAATTTCAAGTTCCAAATCGTGTGACGAACTGCCAGATATGTGCTCTATGAGCAGTTTGACTGACTCAGCACAAGGTGCTTCAGCTGCATAGTGGAGTGGAGTATTTTGCGATGTGTTCCTCTCACAAATTTTGGCCCCGGAATTTAATAAATATTTGAGGCAATCTGATGATTTTAATTTCGCTGCAAAATGAAGAGGTGTATTCATGTCCGTATTCTTCACGTCTGTTTTGGCGCCTCTATTCAGCAGAACTTTGACACATTCTAGAGATCCTGATTTAACTGCTAAATGGAGGAGTGTGTTACAGTAGTTGTCACAAAATGCCAGATTTATGTCTCCAGCGTAGTGAGACAAGTAACTTTCCAGTTCCAAAGCATTTTCAGTCTCACAGAGCGTTCTCAAGTAACTTATGTCGGCAGGCGAAACGTTGTTATTCGGCATGGTGGAAGCCATATTCGCGGATAGTTGCAAGTGTGGGCTGGTGTTATTAGAACTGCGTCAGCATCAAAGGCTCTGTATGGTGGAGAGATGCTATCCACTTCATAGGTTTGAATGTGTTCAGAGGCATGTCAGCGTCGATGACAATATGCCATGGATAACTGCGGCTATGTACCTCAGGATTCTTCTCAAATTTTCTCCAGTGTTAAGGATGGATCTCAGAATTCTTCACCCTGCAGAACAGGAAACTATAGTATTTTCAGAAGAGTGCAATTAAAGATAATTTAAGACAATTTCTAGATGATGAGAGAGTCTGTCTGTCTATCTATCTATGTATCTATCTATTTATCTATCTGTCTATCTATCTATGTTCCTGTTGCTCCCACTTGGAGCACAGGGCATCTGTGAAACGCTTCGTTTCACGTAAGTTTCTTAATATTAGACAAAAGGTAGGACACCTTGGACTGGGGATCAACCCATTGTAAGGCCGCTGTCTTGCACAGGACAACACAGAGATAATAAACGTAGACAGACATCAATGTCTTGAGTGGGATTCGAACTCACGATTCCAGCGTTCGAGGGTGAAGATATTTCATGCCTTGTGATCGGTTGATGGGGAAAGTAAAGAACGAATTTTAGCTCAGATTTTGTTTAAACTGAGATTCAGTTCTTCCAAGTGACGTCATATTATCTTAAAGTAGGTCACGACTGCTTCCATCCATATTCTTGCCATCTTATTCAGACTTGTATCTGGGAAAACAGGACCGGGTGTCATTTTTACTAGGATGCCGTGTGGAATATTTTGAATTGCCAGTGAGCTGGACTGTTTACTGAGACGAATTTCCTACATCAAGACATGTCAAAGAGTTACAGTTCTTCTTGCTAATATAGTTATAATTAAGAGTTCTATTATAATATTCAGTAATAAAAGTATTAATAATAATCTTGGAATAATATCATGAAATCTAATTTGTGTCTTCATGATTTGAATCTAACCTCTTGTATGACGTACCCAACTCTCTCGTATCCATTTGTTGGCATAGTAAATTTCAGTAAGGAACACCTATACTAGGAACCCCAAATCCTCATTTCCGCAAACCCCTCTATTTCGTTGTTGGTATTACATTCTATTTACTACACATGATAAGGTAAAAAATAATAAGGATCTTATTGTAAATAAGGGGTACGCGGTAGCGTAGACGGTTGAGGCATTATGCTACAAGCCGGAAGGTCGCGGCTTCGATTCCCGATGAGGTCATTGGATTTTTCAATTGACCTAATCCTTCCAGCCGTGCTATGGTCCTGGGGTTCGATTCAGCCTCTAACAGAAAGGAGAACCAGGAATCTTCCTGGGGGTTAAAGGGCGGCCGGCGTGTAAGGCTGACAACCTCACCGCCATCTGTGAGCCGATTGTCTAGAAAGTATGGGAGCCTCGAAATCTCACATTCCTATAGACCTACACGCCCTGTTACAGGAGTAACTTCAACTTTTTTTACCTTGTTGCTAATAACATTATTACTCGTACAACGTCGGAGTCTGATTGCAGATTTTCACGGGCCGAAGTTTTCTGTTCCTCCTGTATAACAGATGCAGATGTAAAATCGCCATAAATTGAAGCAAGCCTTAACTGGCCTAGGTGTTCCCGTGTCTGTTGTTGTTTATTTTACATCTCTGTAGGCATCTAGATTATATAGCATCTAATGTTAGGATTATTAAAGAACTGATACAAATTTGGATGGAAGTGTTCAAGGTACTATTGCGGAATTTGCGTGGGGATCAGAGGAAAAGCACGAAAACATCAACATAGCCGCTGTCCCCACCGAGATTCGATCCAAGCACTTCCTGAATAGAAGTTCAAACCAATACAAATACATCAACATGCTTAACTTTTTTGTTATTCTTAGTTGTGTGAAACGGAGTCCAATTCGTACTGTCACCACTACTGGTCTATTGTACCAGCCCGGGATGATGGAGATTGTGGAGTAGTCAGTTGAATAAAGATTGGCAGGGGAAACAGAAGTACTCGGAGAAAACCTGCCTCAGTGCCACTTTGTTCACCACAAATCCTGCATGATCTGACCTGGGCTCGAACCCAGGCCGCTGCTGTAGGAAGCCTGCGACTAACTGCCTGAGGTATATCACTTGCTTGGTCATTTTGTCTTACGTTTAACAATTATGATTGAGGGAACAAATAACTATATGGCCTATTCTTAACAAATTTTATTCTGAAATTTAATTATTTCTAAGAAAGAAATGAGGGTTCTCTTACATCAACCTAAACTATTTCTGCCCTGAATAACTTAGATGTACAACCCTGTCAGTGGACATATCCTCTCCTGGTTATTATTTCTTAATTCAAATTATTATTAATTATTAAAATGAACTGAGCCATTTCTATAAATAGGAATCAGTAAAGGAATCATTGTACTACTTACATGCAATAAATTTGTCCTCTTGAAATGAATGTACGATATGATATTTTCCGTCCAGGAGAGGCAAATGATTTGAAGTACGCATCATGCAACATCGCAGGCACAGCACTGTCGCTCTAATTAGGAGTTGTTTTGCTTGCCTACGTGACTTTTCCATTTTATTGTGACAGATAAGATATCACCGATATTGTGCCAAGCAAGGAACCTTCACTTCGGAACTTACTCGCTAAACACAATTAACTAACCAATCACTAAGCGTAGTTAGTTGAGGCACTACACTACAAGCCAGAAAGTCGCGGGTTCGATTTCTGTTGAAGTCATTTTTTTTTTAATTTACCTAATCTTCTTAGCCTCTCTACGGCCCTGGGGTTGACTCAGTCTCTAACAGAAAAGGGTATCAGGAATTTTCCTGGGCGTTAAAGGGCGGCCGGCGCGTAAAGCTGATATCCTTACTGCCATCTGTCAGCCGATCATTCAGAAAATGTTGGGGTCCGACGTCTCACAACCCAATGGGCATTCACGGCCTGTTACAAGGATAGCTTTACATTTCCTCTTCAGTAAACCTTGTGTTCATAACGGAATTATTTTTGGAGATACACACTAGATCGTGTCTGATGGCGGAGCTGATAGACTTTGTCTCCACCACTCTTCTATTCTAATACTATTGGTAACAGTGTCTGAATTGAAAGAACATTGCCGAGCAGATCGGTGAAGCTGTTGAGACCCTAGAATTTTATTCGGTAACTTCTGTGTTCAAGGGGCACTCGGTAGTGTAGTTGGTTGAGGCACTATGCTACGAGCCGTAAGGTCACAGTTTCGATTCCCGATGAGGTAATTTGATTTTTCACTTTACCTAATATTCCTGTTGCTGCTATGGTCCTGGGGTATACTCAACCTCTAATATAAATGAGTAGCAGGAATCTTCCTAGGCGGTAAAGGGCGGCCGGCGCGTAAGACTGACATCCTCATCGACATCTGTGAGCCTATTTTCTAGAAAATGTGGGAGTCTCGACGTCTCACAATCCTTTGGGGTCTTCATGGCATGTTATAGGAATAGCTTTACCTTACCTTATTTATATTTCTTGTTGCTGGGTTCGAATTTAGTCCTGTTCCCATATTATTCTGGTTGGAATTTTTGCGTCTTAGCTCAGCCCCTCCAAGCAAGAACATCAATTAGGCAACGATCAAATCCTTTCCACATTATCATACATGTATCATACACTCCGACGCCATATAGTCTCGAGAGAGTTTCTGACAGCGTCATGAAGCGCATCGCATCAAAATGAAGCATAATAAACTAGTTTCCCTATATATTTATATCTTTCAGTAGCAGAGGCTTGTAGATGCAGTTACAGCTTTTTACATCGGAACATGAAAGAACTGAACGCGACTATAACATTACAGATGTGACGGATGTAGCGACTGTCTTATGTGATATGACACTGTGTTGTCTGGTTGAAAGTTACAAACATTTCGGACAACCTGTTTCCTCTATCATCAGCGTATGAAATCTTGAATTGGAGGCAGCAGATTCTGCTGATACGATGGTAAATACCTACCAGACTACACGGCGACAAGCCCCACAAGAAAGTAACCTTAATGAAAGGTGGAAATACGGAAAGTCGGATAACAACTTCTACGTTGTTGGACGAGATATTCTGTAAAGTGATTTAGTAACAGGCTATACAATCGAGATCGAACCTCGACTAGTTCAAGGGCTCTTACCACCAGACTGGCTCTGGAAACTACAAAATCTCTTCTTTCCATCGGCTGCCAGGGGCTCTTTCCTTGAGAGTAAAGCAGTCGAAAAATAAGCTGATAACTTTATTAAATATAATGCAGGAGTCAAGAATCCCTTCATGGTAGGATGTTTAGATAAAGGAACAGATATACCTTCTAGAAGAAATGTATCCCTATTTTCGGTGGTGCGGTTTATACCTTTCCCTTAATATCTGTCAATTTCCATTATTTAGTTCAACCGTCTTCCAGTGCATACACTCATCTATCTCACTCCTCTCTCTCGCACTACATGTTTCGGCACAAAAGTGCCATCTTNNNNTTGCAAGAAGATGGCACTTTTGTGCCGAAACATGTAGTACGAGAGAGAGGAGTGAGATAGATGAGTGTATGCACTGGAAGACGGTTGAAATAAATCATGGACTTAAATCAGTGCAACAGGACGCTAAAATATAACATCTGGCAATTTATATGTTTCAATGACCAAATACCTGTAAGACCAACTGGCCAACGAACCAACCAATGCTAACCACTACATCGCGCGCAACATCGAGTAGGAGGTAGGTCTTTGTTTCGCAATACGGATCAACTGATAACGTCTCTAACCGTATATGGCAAAACGGGCGTGGGGGACATTATATATAATATGCAACTTAGATATACGAAGCATTGTTAGGGATCTGATAGCTCTAATCTGCGGTCCAACTTCCACTAAGCGTTTCACATAATGGAACTACTTTATTTATCTTGTTACACTATAGACATGTTTAGCATTTTCACTAGTACCATCACAGGTGAGTCCTTACCACTTTATTGCAGGCGGGTCTCATTTGAGGGAGACTGGTGACGGGCTGACATTCAGTCTGTTATTCACGAACCGCGCCGTGAGGCGTGTTGTGAATATTGGCTTGGAAGGCAGTTGAAAAATTCGAGGGAGGGTCAGTAGATATGTCATAAACGGAAGCATAACTGCTGTAATGGAAGTAGTAGGTTTCCTTTGTGTATCATTAAGTAGCAGCAGAGTCCAGCTTCTGGACAGTCTAGGAAACAGAAATGCAAGCACATGTTTAGAGGCTGGTTGGAGCAGTCAAAATGGCGACCTTGCTTGCAGAGTGAATACCGAAGCGCAGTGTTCTGTTGTCAGTTATTTTTGTGGGCAAAAGGACCCCTGCAAAGGATAATTATAAAGAAATGTTTCCTATTTACGGCAGGGAGTGTTTGTCGCGTAAAGCGGTTCACAACTGAGTCGAGAAATTCTCTGAAGGGCGTTCGAAATTCGCAGATGATGCCCGACCAAGTCGCTCTGTTGAGATTGGGACAGAAGCAACTCTCCAGTGGGTGGAAGAGTTGATTCGAGCTGACAGGGGGATAACGATAGACAGTGTAGCAATTGCACTAGGGTGTTGCCATGGTTTAGCATACAGCATAATGCGTGATCATTTGAAGTTTCGGAAAGTGTGTACACGGTGGGTGCCTAGAAAACTGAAGGACTGAGAAAAAATGAACTGAATGGGTCTGTACTTGCAGCATCTCTTGCGATATCCAGATGAAGGGGAAGATATGCTTAACAGGATTGTTACTCGGAGCGAATCAGAGGCGCATCACTGCAATGGAAACATCCCAGTGCACCTTCAAAGAAAAAGTTTAAGGTTACACCATCAGCTGGGAAGGTTATGTTTACAGTGTTTTGGGATCCTTAGGAAGTTCTGTTAGCCTTTTTTTCAGAAGCGGGGTGAAAATGTAAATTCTGCATCGTATTGTGAAGTTCTGTTGAAGCTTCCGGATCCAGTTCACAGTAAATGTCCAGGCCAATTGACAAGAAGGAGACTGTTTAATCGTGACAATGCCAGGCAACATACTGCCCGAGCAACCCAGGAGAGAATTCAAGAAATGCATTGGGAACTTCTTGAACATCATCCTTACAGCCCGAACTTGGTACTTAGTGATGTTCATCTGTTTGATCCGCTAAAAAACCACCTTGGTGGCAAATGTTCCCCTGATTACGAAGTGGTTGAGACTGAGGTGCGGAAGTGGCTGAGACAACACTCAAAAGACTTCTAAGCTGCGGATTTCGACGCACTGGTAAAGCGATGGGACAAGTGTGTCAGTGTTGGTAAAGGATATGTCGCTGTGTCTTGAAGAACAGAATCTCAGTTTCTCTGTAAAAAGAAGAATGAGATGAACTGGATACTAAGAAGATACGCTTATAGAAAGTAAATTACCCCAGGGGAGGAGGTTAGTTAGAAAACCGAAATGGGAGTTCAGCTGCAATGTGCTGCAGAAAATAATATCACTATTTTTATGTTTTTGCATCCTATCGCACTGTGTGTCAACTCGAACGTTGTTGTGATTCGTGTCCCTCCTTGTGCTACTCAAAATCCGCTACATCTCAATGATTGTTCTTTTTGCAGAAAGAGGAAACATCGACTCCTAGCAGATTTTGATTGAATTACACAAGGACGGATAAGAATGAGAACAGTATTCAAGATCTCTAATGGCGACCTGAAGTTAGCAGCATTTTTGTATCAAGAAGTGAAGGCTGTTTTCCCTGCAGTCTATGGGGTCCCTATACTAGGGTCTTGATATGAAACCCCTTGCTCAGCGCCTGACGAAATTACTGCTTCTGTGGGCAGTGACAAGTTCCAACGAAGAAGAAGCCAATGAGAAAGGGAACTACAATGATATTCCTGTAGATTTATCGTACGTAAATGCAGACCTGTCTTGGAAGCGTTAGTGAATTTCTGACATTGTTGAACCGCCGAAGTAACAGTGAACACTTCATGTTATTGTGTCTAAATTGGAATAAGAATTATAAACTATGAACTTCGTCATCAGTTCTGGTAAACGAAATTACCTGACCATGTATTTCAGAGACGGCTTATAAAATAGAACGTACTGTACTTATCACAAATGAGTAGTGATGCAGTTAATAGAATATAAGAGGAATAGTCATCCCATAACAGTGTGTTCCTTACACATTTTGCAGTCATACAAGAGGACAGAGAGGATTCAAACTTTATATAACTTCCATACAGCCCTGCTGACATATTTGTCCCAGGACACCCACCTTATGTCGATACAGTCTATGGAGGTGAAGGGTTGGAATATATTTAGCACCAAAAATTCTCAACTGAAGTCTCTTCACCTTACAGGCTGACTCCCATCTCTTCAGTCGTCATCAAAATCTCCCGGACCGTTCGCAACATGCTGTCATACGTAAGTATTATAAACAACTTTGCTACCTTATATTAGCAAGTACTTCACATCATGATGAATAGTCAGTGAAAAATAGTTCTTTCTCTTGGGATATAAATCCGTGTATTCCGTTTGAAAATCAACCGAATTCTAGAGGAACTTGGCATCTTAAATTTCAGGCTTGCTACCTGCTTCACGCTGGTTTCTTGAATGATTATTTCTTCACCCTGAAGATGGAAGCGACGTGTTCCCCCGAAACGTTGATTGACTTTCAATGGACTACACTTATTATATCTCAGAAGAAATAACTATCATAACCATCACTGTAAGAACCTCAAAATCTACACAGTCAGTGACAATATTTCTATCATTAGGTATGAGCACTTCTGTATGTAGTGTAAACAGATGGGGAAAAAGTGACAAGACGTACATAAACAAATGTTATAATTTGCACTAAATTTATTCCATTACAAGTTTAACTCCATGAAAGATCTAATTAACAATATAATCGTATATATTTTTTCCCCCTTGGCACTAGAGCCCAAGTGGGCCTAGGCCTGCCTCCATGAACTTCTCCGTTCACTTCGGTTTTTCTAGATCTTACACAATCGGTAAAACTCCTTGGGCGGGTGATCAGCTCGTCGCAAGGCCTCTACCTGTACACAAACACAGAAAAACGGCGCTTCCCACCGCGGCAGCCCGGGTTCCATCTCGGATCTGGTCAAGTGGGATTTGTGGTGGACAAAGTGGCGCTGGGGCAGGCTTTCTCCGAGTACTTCGGTTTCCCCTGCCATTCTTCATTCCACAAATTGCTCCACAATCACCCTCACCTATCATCTGGGGCTGGTACAATAGGCCAGAAGTGGCCGCAGTACAAGGGACTTAGTCCCATCCCACTAGCAAAAAAAAAAGTTCCACCCCATTAACATTATAGAAAAAAACATAACCTCTCCACCGCGGACTCCGAGCAAAGTCACTGCGAACGTGCGTTGTCATCGGCGTCAACCCCGAAAATATTTGTTTTTCCACAAGTCCCCTAATATTGTCGTATTAAATATCTCACATCTGTTAAATTCTACCGCCAAATTTAAAATTAAGAAGATATAAGCGGCCATAGCACCGCCATAATTTACAATCCGTTGCTGGTCCCCAACCGACTGAGACGCGGAAGCTTACCCTGAAATCTGCATGAAGTCTTGTGATTGGTTTATTGGGCCGATCACAACGGCGGCGCGGTCTAAGAAGCATACAGTCCACTACTGCTTGAATATTTGGATATGGGATTAAATCCATTCAAGACATGGTCTGCATTTTATTGTGTGTTTATATTGTACTGTCTAGGTAGGGGCCTTGCGACGAGCTGATACCCCGTCCACCGTGTCCTACAAGATGCAACAAGAATCATAAACCCTGGAAACCGAAGCCCTTTGACTTAATTTGTTTGCCATGTTTTTCATTCGTTTTCATTTATCAATGACTCTACAGCCCTCTACTGGGCCCTGGTCGATTTTTTTTTTCAGTTCCGTAATTATGTACACAGTCGGTAGGACTCCTTGGACGGGGGATCAACCCTCTCAAGGCTGCTATCTACACACAGGACAACACAGACAGAGAATATACGCACACAGAAATAAATGCTTCAAGTGGGATTCGAACCCACGATCTCAGTGTTGGAACGGTTTGAAGACAGTTCATGTCTTAGACCGCGCGGCCAATGTGATCGATTTTTCTGCAATGTACTAGAAAGAAATGTTTACTGAGGTCTTGCAGTAGTCATTTGGGCTCCTAAGTGACGAAGTCTGAGTCTCAGGAGGGTCTCAAAATTTTACAATATTTGCAAAGACTTTTCCAACTTGTTCAGACACCTACTGCATACGTAATACTCGTATATCTCTGTTAGCCAAAGTCTGATTACGGGTGATTTAACGTGACAGCGTCTTGTAAGGGAAAATATCAAGAAGTCTTAAATGCTTAATATTTAACTGCAAAACTTCGTTTCTCTAAAACAAAGGGATTCTCAGTCAAGATATAGGAAATATTTCCAATGGCAAGAAAAAGAGATTTCAGAATTTTGACAAAAATATGGCTAGGAACATTTACCAGTTCTCACGCGTGCACATGCGCACACACAAAGTGTGACAGTTGAATTTCTACAAATTTATCTGCTTAAGAAGGGAAACAATATCTCATGTACACGTATACATACATAAATGACAGACATATCGTCTTCAGATTGGACTATCAGAGTGAGTTCATATTTCTCTTATCGTAGTGTTTCATGGAAATCTACACAGAACTGGCCGTGACTTATAAATTCAACAGAAGTTTTTCCCAGATTTAAATATATGCTGCAACGCTTAGACTTAATCTCTGTTGATATAAAACATATGTAGATTTGTATCCTTATCAGGTTGAAGTGTGTGTCTAACTTATATTCCTTTGTTCCACAGAACAATAACTAGGCTTATGTTCTTTTTCTTGAGCAATAGTTGTCTGGTCTTTATTAAAATACGTCGCGGCAATTGAATTTAGAAAGTGAGAATGATAACACGACATTGTGCAACGAATTTGGAAGCCTGGTTTCTTTCAAGTACTCCGTTTATACGATGGGACTGAGAGGAATTATAAGCCAATAATTACAGGCTAATTGCAGATAATGCTCAATTTAGGTATACAATTTCCATTTTTAAAGTTATCTAATACGTTAAATTTGTTGCATATAACTTCAAACTGTCCCTCCGTTGCTGTATTTGTAATTAGTATCATACGTACAAATATGTTTCAAACAGGACTGAGTAAAGTTTATTATGTATCTCCGTCAAGAATTTCACTTCCCCCAACCATTATTTATCGCTATGAAATAGACAGCTACATAGGCTACATATTTCTTGCGCCGCCATGTTGGTCTCTTGTTCTCTATGCACAACAACATTTTAATAGAAGTTCCGCAAGTTGTTATTAACTATTACTAAGAAACTTCAGGAGTTGCTATTAAGTGATGTTAGTACAATTCCATCTCGGAAGTTTTCACGACTGCCATGTTTGTACGCATATTCGTGGTAACAGGAAATTAAAGGGTACCCTAGTTGAATGGTCTTGAAAGATATGATGTTCATAACAAGTCCCATGGAAACCTCAATTAGTTAAAATATGTTGAGGGTGGGGAGAGACAAGTTAACTGTCAAACATGAGCTTACGTGATAATACCATAAGCCGAAATTCCATGCAAATTAAGAAACCCAGGTTAGAAGGAGATGATGAACCTTACAAAAGTTGGGTATACAAAAAGAGAGAAGAAATGTTAGAAAAGAAAGCATTCACAGTTTCTGGGACAGTAATTTCAAATAGGAGAGAAATGTGAGGAGACAACAGAGAATCAGCTATGTATAAAACAGTGATATCAATTGGAAACTGTTGAGGAGCGAAAGCAATCTTGCAACATCATGCCGAAGGATGCAAGAAACTCCACCCATAGCCCGTGTCTACGTGAAATAAATATTAAATATTCTCAATAATTTATTGCATTTTTTTGGATGTATGAAGTATTCTATTAAACATATTTCTTTAAAGAGAGAAAAAAATTTTATATCTCATATATTTGACTTTACATTATTGGTATAATTATCATCGTCATCCTCATGATGGATGCAATTAACACTGAAAATTACTAATTTCACGTGACGAAGGCTCAAAACCTGGTAAGAACACACGTGTTTCGGATCGACGCAAAGAAATGTAAGTTTTACACAGTACACCTAAGTTTGCTAAGGTTATCTGCTGCAGTAAGTAACATCAGTCCTGTGCAGAATGCATACCATTAACCGCTGCGATATGAAGTAGGTAAAGCTCCACATCGGTTTAACGTAAGCATTAGAAAGAGAGATGAATGAATAGCTTCAATATTCCATCAATTTACTCTCGTGGAAGAAGCTCCTATGTCCATTGTATACCTACATGAGGTTTCTCGCATCAGATTTGGATGTGTGGCAAAGGAGAGTATTTCTCCTTTTTGCCGGGAATAGGACATAGTTTTCAGACCTCAGCTAGTCATTTCAACGACTGATATATCCGGGTTCAGTAAAAAGAATTCATATGTAATGTACTAGAAATTAAAAAGTTCTAGGCCTACAGACCTGTAAGCTTACCTTATGCCAGATATCCTACATAACTGCAAAATCTCACAATATTAAAATACTTATATTACAACAACAATAACAACTACAACTACTACTACTGCTACTAAAAGGTAAGGTAAAATTATCCCTCTGCTCAACGAATTCAAGCACTACGCCATGAAGACGTATGGGGGGTGTATAGAGCCACATTTTCTTGACCTCGGCACTAGTTGGAGGTGAGCGGCCAGCTTCACGCCCTGGTCGCTTTACCCCCGGGGAAAGAGCCCCCGATAACCATTCGATAGAAGGTTGGGTGGATCCCAGAGCCGGTCTGGACCATTTGGAGAAGAGAAAATTCTTGACCTTAGTGAGGCTCGAACTCCGACGCCTCAGTCGTCCAGCCCGTAGCTAATTTATATACTGACTACACTACCGCCTCCCCACTCAATTCAATTCAATTCAATTCTTTATTATTAATGNACAACAACAACAACAACAACAACAACAACTACTACTACTACTACTACTAATAAGAATAATAATAATACTGCTACTACTGCTACCACTACTACTATTACTACTATTACTAACACTACCTCTAATAATAATAATAATAGTAGTAGTTAATAGGCCTATATGAACTGTGCTTAGAAACATGGCGACTTGTTTGCCTTATACAAGTGNCATAAATATTTAATTATGAAATGAATAGTATAGATTTTCAGAGGATGATAATAATATACGTAATTCATTTTGTTTTACTGGAAATGCNGTTAATATCTTGTAACTAGGCCTATGTTAAACGGAAATTATAAAATGTATCTTATTTTCTCAGGATTACGCTTCTACCCATGAGAGACCCGTTGTTGTTGAAGTGGAACTTCATTGGAATTCGCCGGAAGTGGAGTCATGGAAGGCGGAAGCGATTAAAATGCAACAGAATATATACGAGATGCTGGGTGGCGACCGGATGGAGCCGGGGCTGTACGGCAACCAGAACAGGACAGAGCTGGAGAGGAAAGTTGCTTACGCCATGTATGGTCCTCCGTCCCAGCTTCCGAACCGAGAATTAAACGCCGGAACCGGTTACAAGAAGAAACAACTGAAGATCGTCCGGAAGACTTGCAACGTGATTTTGAAGCAGACAGGACTTACAGAGGTATTTGTGTCGTTTTTGTTCGTCTGTATCAAGATTCCTGGTGGGAAACTGGTCACGCCTCTGTTCAGGGTCGCTGCAGAAAATAGGAACGATATTGGTGAAAGCGAAGAGACTGCTTTTTATGTGGATGGCAATCGTCGTGTGTACAAGGGGTGGATCGACTATAAGAAGAACAACAAACTCCCAAAGTGTTTTATGTGTTATCCTCGCAACGGCATATACACATCAACATGCTCAAAAATAGATGTCGAATTTGGAGAATCGCCTGCTTGTAAATTGTCTGGCAAAGTTTTGGATGCTGTGGACATTACTTTGACTCTAGTGGTGACCGCCCTTGGCGTCACTGCTCTCGTAGTCCCTGTATCAGTTCCTGTTGCCATAGCTGTTGTTGCTGGGGGCGTAGCTTCAGGGGTGTTCGCCTTGGGCCGAAATGCAAAGACACTAGTTGATAGACACAAACACAGACAAACACTGGGCTTGAACAGTGGTGAGGCCCGCGCAAGTTGGATGGGTGTGGCCGGTAGCGCTGTGGGAATTTCGCTAGGCAGTGTCACCATGGTGGCAACCAGAGTCGTCCAAGGCACGAGGTTGGTAGGGCTAAAAGTCGGCGTGGCATCGCTGTCGATCGGCGCGACCACAATGAAAGGCCTGACGATTTTGAATCACTTCGCAAACATCGGGAAGAAGATAATGGACGAGGGAGAAGTCACACCACTTGATGCTTTTCAAGTGGCTGCCTCCGTGTACTTCTTCACAGGATCTGTGGTGTCCACGCAGGCAGCATTTGGTGCTATGGTGCATTTGAAAGCAGCGGGAGTGGATCTCAAGATGGCAGAAGTTCTCCAAGCGATTCGGATGAGGAGTGAGCTGTCCGCATCAGTATTAGGGGTGACAAACTCTGGAAGAGATGGAGAAGATACTGTAGAGGAACCGGAAATGCTTTGGCCGAAAGTGGAAGAAAGTTATTTCAGGTGTACTATCTTATAGATTGAATCCACAGAGAATAAAATCTAAGCTTACACGTGGATGGTGTTTAAGAACAAAAATTTCACAGAGCACAACATTTGAGTGTGTACGTGACTAGTGTGAGGAACAAAGCCTTCATGAAGCACACAATTTGATGGATGTTGCGAAGAAAAGAAACTTTCATATAACAAATTTATACCGAGGTAATAATTAGACCAACGCTCAAGTTTTGAGACTGAAAAGATTATTGGCAATATTTTTCAGACAGAATTACATTCTGACGTGTGTATGAGTAGCTATAGACGGGATTTTGGATTGGTAATGGGATTTATTGAACATTTACAGAACGTAACTACAGATAACTAAAATGCTATTTCCAATTCACACACTGTACAGTTCACTACAGCACGCACTTAAGTCTTTCAGTCTGCAGCATCTTCACCAGTCGTTGCCTGGCAGCGACTTTTGGAGGAGGTTTAGAATACCTCCACCGTAGCCCTGGGAGTGTAGAAAGCGACGGAAAGGGAAACCGGTGCCGGGGGTGTAACTGGGCCCTCTATCACTAGTGGACATATAAGATTTAATTTTCATTTCATGCATCCTGTTGTGTTACAATATACAAATTCTTTATTACAACCGTCACAACACAACAAATAGCAAGGTCAGTGCCTAATTTCGGCTCTGCTACATGTTTCGGCTATTAATAAACATCATCAGGCAAATACATGGTTAGCATACATATACATCACTGAACCGCAGTACTAGTAAAATTGAATACAATACTATTAATTATATAAAAAAATACTTGACGTAAAAATACAATAAATTAGATTATATAAAACAAATTATAGTATAAAACAAGAATAAAGTTCTTTGATTGATGTTTTACATCATTGAGTCAGTTGTTGGTTTTGTAATTTTGTTGCGTTCCCACGGGCAAATTGGAATATTCTATATTTTGTGAATATAAAAATTGTATAGGAGGCTCGTGATGTAGATGTAGTAATATTAATGTTAATTATTTAGCCGTTGTTTACATTCCCTATAGAACGGACAATACTTTGTAGGATGAGGCATCGACTAAATAATTTACATTAATTTACTACATCTGCATCACGAGCCTTCTATACAATTTTATGTACACAAAATATAGAATATTCCAATTTGCCCGTGGGAACGCAACAAAATTACAAAACCAACAACTGACTCAATGATGTAAAACATCAATCAAAGAACTTTATTCTTGTTTTATACTATAATTTGTTTTATATAATCTAATTTATTGTATTTTTACGTCAAGTATTTTTTTATATAATTAATAATATTGTATCCAGTTTTACTAGTATTGCGGTTCGGTGATGTATATGTATGTTAACCATGTATTTGCCTGATGATGGCTATTAATAGCCGAAACACGTAGAAGAGCCGAAACTAGGCACTGATCTTGATATTTGTTGTGTTGTGACGGTTGTGATAAAAAGGTTGTATATAAAACTTAGGCCGTCAGGTGGGTAGGGTTTGGATAGAAGGCTGACAACCTTTCTCTGCAAAAATAAAGTTGTCGCGAAATCCATAGAAGTGAAAACCGGATGCAATTTCATAGAATCTTCTAAGGAAGGCTATGGTTCAAATAGGACTATTTTGTTAATGATGATGACTGTGATTTGACATTTTTTTCAGGAAAGTGTGTGTGACAGGGCAAAATATAGACCTTCTTCTTCCAAGTAATTCTACCGTATAAAATATGTGTAAAAATATCACCCAGGCGGCAAACTTTATTTGCGTCAATTCAAATTTAAAGTTTCGGGGTCAGTCTCGCTCCACAATCAGACCTTTTCAATAGAACATGTGCAAGGAAATTCTTACATATTATTAAGTAAGGTTACTTAAGGGCTAAGGTACTTATTTGTTTTTAGTCTTTATACTTAAAGGTTATATATATGCATCTGTTGCCGGTCACGGTAGCCGAGCACTGTCTTCGCTTGCTCGGAAGCCGGGATAGTGGGTTCGAATCCCACTCATGACATGGATGTTTGTGTGCGTTTTCCTGTGTCTGTCTACAGGTAGAGGACTTGCGACGAGCTGATCACCCGCCCAAGGAGTCCTACCGAATGTGTAAGATCTAGAAAAACCGAAGTGAACGGAGAAGTTCATGGAGGTAGGCCTAGGCCCACTGGGGCTGTAGTGCCAAGGAAGAAAAAATATGTATCTGTTAAGACTGACTGTATAAAATATAAATAAAATCGAAATGATTCCTCAACGGAGCGAAGACTTTATCGGATTTCTAGATGAGTGTTTCTGAGATGTTAATGTTGTGGTACTTGAGAGTTGGTTATGAGCTAGCCGTGGGCTAGTGTTCTGCTGTTCCGTTTTACTGTCGTGTAGAGGCGATGCTAATTATGTTGTCATGTATTCGGGTAACTTGACTAGAGGTTAATGGATTTCGGATAAGATGAACCGATTTATTGGACAATTTAACCGGGCGGAACTGCAGATAGTTATAACGAATTCAAATTACTTTAACTGTAAGACACAAACAAGGTCTTCGACGTCTGCTTGCTTGAACGAAAGCACGCTAGTTCGCTTCTGCCTTCTTCCTCTGACTCCTGTGTCTGACTCGTCTCTTGCTTCTGACTTCTGAACTGGCCTCCATTTATACCTGCTAGGCTCCTGGGGTAGCAGATACCTCCTTGAACAGTTTTGGTTTTCATTTCCGTTTTAACGGTCTGCCTAAGTACGCATTGTCGCGTGAAGGTGTTTGCATTTGTCACTCAGATAACGATGGGTTCATTGCTCTAACTGTAGCAGGAACGTGACTACTGAGCCGTTGTCTAGCAGTGGATACCCATTCTGACTCCGATATTTCATCTTTTAGGCTGCACATCAGAATATGGTGCCAGCCAGTTTTTCCTGGTCTGAGTTAACGCTATGCGGGCGCTCTTATTGGCCGAGTGTGTAACTATGGTAATGCTTTCTTAATCTTAGAGAGGTCTGCATTGTCTTGTCTGGTGGGTTTTCTCTACAAGGCTGAAGTGATATACAAATATACAAGCATATTGTGTAAGTTTTGAGGTTTTCACGGCGATGACTATGAAGAAAGTAGTCTTCTACTACAGCTATCTGTATTCGCACGCTATTAAACTACCCTGAAGATGGAGGCGATATGTTCCTCCGAAACGTCGGTTAAAACTAAGAATACACGGCACCAGATCCCAGAAGACGACTTTCTTCATACAAGCATATTATTTCCATTTTCTCAACATTTTGGAAGAACTGATCATTAATAAACTTGTGATAGAGAGTGGACGTTCATGCAGCACGGGGGATCAGGCTCTCGACTCTTAAGAAGTCACAGGAAGTAAGTGTCATGGATCGCACAATTACTTACGCTGAGTACAAATAATTTATTTTCCTCACTTTGCCATTGCCAACTGGACCATCAAATTTCTCTTGAGGTTCTTCTTGGTTTAGCTTGTATCTCTGACAGCAGAGTTCATTTTCATTTTTTTTTCGACAAACGGGCTCTACGAATGTCATGCATTGACATTTTCGCGAATGACGCTAAATGCAATGGACGAAACCTAAAAAATAATACAGGATCCCATCTGAAAGTGTCAAATACGGGCAAACTTAAAGGAGCTATTATTAATGAGAGTAAGGCTTGGATGAGTCATGAAGTGCCTTCCCCAGCTCAAACACTGGGACCGTGGGTTCGAATCCCCTAGAGGCATGGATGTTTGCGTTTATTCTGTATTTGTGTTGTCCTGTGTAGGTAGCGACATATCGACAGGATGATCGCCTATCCAGTGGCTCATGCTGGCTATCAATAATATTCAAGTTTCAGAGTTAATTAATTACTTATTTTTTTAATTCGCACATTGGGGGTGGAGTCCAGTTGGGTCAACTCGGCACGGCGGCCACTGATTGGCCTATTGTACCTGCTCCGGGTGATTGTGATGACGGAGAATTTGGTGGAATAAAGATTGGCAGGGGAAACCGAAGTACTCGGAGAACACCTACCCCAGCGCCACTTAGTCCCACCACAAATCCCACGTGACCAGACCCGGGTTTGAATCCGGGCCGCCGCGGTTGGAAGCCAGCTACTAACCGCTTGAGCTGTGGCGCGGCCTTAATTATATATTTAAGAATGGGCACAGACCTCAGAGTCTAACCCGTCAAGGTAGAAGGAGAAGAAGCAGACCTGCATGAAATATGAAGTGCAGCGCACAGAAAGTTAAAATGTTTCACTGGTCCACTGGTCAACGACTGGAAAACTTGGAAAAGCCGGATAAAAAGCAAGACGGATGCAACAAATATTACAAAGGACCCCAGTTAGAAAATTTTGGCTACCTGAACACTCGGATCACGCATTCGAACAACAATCGAGATGTGAATATTTGTCGGTATTTCTTTGTGTCATTTTCCTGAGATAGCTGCGTTGTTCTGTACTTATGCCAAATGCAGGGATTCCTTTTAGGCACAATAGATCACTGTGGTCTCGGTGCAAGGGCCAAGAAGGCCCACCCCTTATACATTCATTAGGGATTCCTAACGCCATCTGAATATCTTCTGCGGAACCTCTGACTTACCACAGGAGAACCTGGCTCGACTAAGCCCTGAAAATTCTGGAGAAACAAGGAAGGAAATTTAAATAATTCGTCCGTTTTCGACGCATAATTTTTATATTGGGTTATCCAAAGAACACATTGTATGCAATTCCTATTTTCCCCATAACTGCTTTGAACAGTGTAGCAGTTAGCACTCTTAATTAGTACTTGAGTTCGAATCTTAGAAAAGAGACAAGTCATTCGTAAATATTTCTTGGTTGTCCTCAGCAACTCCAGAAATATTGGACTATACATTATAATGCCCAATGACCAAGTCTTTTCAAGTCCTTACTCTTTCGTAAGTCACTCTAACATTCGATGTTATAGGCCCTCGTCTTATAGAAAATGGATTTACCGTGCCGCGGTCTCGCAAAGATTGAGAACCGCTGTTATAAGCTGTAAAATATGCAGCTGACAAAGCTTCGTATAAAAAGCCAATAAATAACCCATGATGATTCATGTGCCGCCTCTCCATTCTTCTTGAATTCAACACCCTAACAATTTATTGCGAATTTAATGAGAGTGTACAGGTTTTTGTGATAAAAAGGTCTCTTTGTTATCGATTTTCAATTACCCCAAGGAGTGAATTCACACTCCACTTTGTTATTGAGTGCCAACCTATTCGAATTCATATTTTGAATGGCGACCGAACTCCGACATTTACCTAAATGGAAGACAAAGTATATGTAATTGAGTGGAAATAGAAACATAATTTTCCCTTCAGCTGGGTCAGTGATCAATACATAATAATGGAATACATTTCAAGGGAGCTTCTGAGTAAGTTTGTTGTCGATATCCAAGAAAACCAAAGTCATTATAGGGACTGCTTAAAGAACAGTCCATTCGCTGCCGACGCTGTGCCAGGTAACCACTAAAAACTCACCTGGATTTGTAAACTTATAAAATACGCGAAAAAATAAATTTAATTCATATTCTTTCCAAACTAACTAAGATTTGTATAAGTTTAGGAAGATCAAAGTCTAACTATAGACGATTTTATGGGTGTGAAACATAATCGTTAGTCTAAGGAAAGAATGAATACTGGGCATAATTGAATAAAAAGTGCCGAAGAGAATATTTGTACCTACGAAAGTTTAGGTACCTGTAAAAACTAGCAAAATGCATAAATCTTCATAAGGCGGAATAATTTTTTCATAGGTTATTGCTAATATTTATAAACCAAGAAGAGTGAATGGATTGTCACCAAGGAAACAAGAAATTAACAAAACTTTATGTTAAGAATCCCTGCGAACAGAAGATTCTAGCAAGTAAAGTTGGTAAAAAAAAGATGTCCCTGTACAGGCCGTGAAGGACCATAAGGTTTTGAGACGTCGAGGTTCCTACATTTTCTCTAGACAATCGGCTCACAGATGGCGGTAAGGTTGTCAGCCTTACGCGTAGGCCGCCCTTTACCCCCTAGCAAGATTCCTGATACTAATTCCTATTAGAGCCTGAGTCGACCCCAGGGCCATAATGCAGTTGAAAGAATTAGGTAATTGAAAAAGTCAACCTCATCTGGACTGGAAGCCGTGACTTTTCGTTTTGTAGAATAGAGCCTCAACCAACTACGCTACCGGCAATGTTGATAATAAGGCGTAACTCAGGGCAACAGATTCTGGAGAATTGAAGTGGCTCAAGAACGTGCCAGCAGAGGGCGTTGTTAGAAATATTAATATTTATTTGATTATTTTTAATAGAGATTTTTAGGTCGGCTGTTGGGTCGGTCAGTCGGTCGGTCTGCTGTCAGCTTGTCTTAACTGCTTCAGAAAAGCACGACATTGGACCTCATTACTAAGCAGCTCAACCCACCGCACGGTATCATAACCTATTCTTTAAGGCTTTCCAATTACACTTTCGCGTGTATTTATCTCCTCAAAATGCTCATTACTTGTCCGTCCTGTCGAAGCTTCCTTGATGAATTCAGCAAAGTCCAAGATTTCCGCTCTTCAGTTAAAGAACTTGAAAAAATGTATAGACCTTAAGAAATATTGGTCAAATATAGAATAATTTATGGTGTTGAAATATAGGAAATTGTAAAGAGTGGGGAAATATCAGTTTAAAACATAAGAGCGTTTGTGAGAAAATTCTCTGCATACGGCTAAATGTACTAAGGGACAAGTGTGTGATCAGAATTTTTAAGTATTTATATACTGTCTTCGCTCGCTTGAAATAACCGGGATCGTGGGTTCGAATCCCACTCAGGGCATCGATGTTTACTTTGTGTGTGTGCGTTTTTCTGTGTTTGAGTACAGGTAGAGGCCTTGTGACGAGCTGATCACCCGCCCAAGGAGTCCTACCGTATGTGTAAGATCTAGAAAAACCGAAGTGAACGGAGTTCATGGAGGTAGGCCTAGGCTCGCTGGGGCTGTAGTGCCAAGGAAAAAAAAAGCTATAAAATGAATGGCTGGAAGGTGTCATTAGGAAATTATGTATTTGATATAAGTAAAATGAAGAATTATTCAAGAAATTTGAATAATAAATGTTACAGAGTTGATATTGTCTGCTAGAATGTTGGAAATGCTTACATTTCTCTGTTACTCTACCGCGTACACACACAGAAACACATGCCCACACACACGAGAGTCTAAGGCTTACTAGTCTGTTGCTGTGTACGTTGGCAAGCAGTTACGAACCAAAGCAAATGGCATCAATAAACGGCAGGCGGAGAAGCGTTGTGTAGGCACTGCAGTGACTCAACAAGGCTACACAGCTTAGTTCATATTATTGTTCTATCAGGTTCGGTAGCTTTGTATAAATGTACCTATCTTTCCAGAATATTTTAAGTTCTTAGTGCGCATGTTCAGAGGAATCGCGTTTTCAGAATGTTTCCTAAGAGCTCTTTGGTAGTTCATAACGCTATCCAAATGGGAAAGCACTAAGCTATAGAAATCTATGCTGTGTTCTTTTGAAAAGATACGTGTATATCCATTACAACACATAATTTGCATAAATCTATTTAGTATTAAATTGCATTGTCAGCAGGGAAGCCGGAATAGCTCAGCCGGTATAGAAACAGGCTCTGAGCCGGAGAGCCGGGTTCGATTCCCGGCAAATGGTACTGGAGGATTTATCCTCAGAGGTAAAGCGACTGAAGCGTAAAGCTGACCATTCACATCTAACTAGTGACAAGGCCAAGAATGATGGAGTTATACCTCCACTACCCCTGTAGTCTTCATGGAGTAGTTCTTAACTCATTAAGCACAGGAACAATTTCACCACCTGCTGTATTGAGGTAAGGCACTTTTGATAAGTTTTGTTTTGCGGATAAAAAGTTTTGCACATGAATAGAAATAGTTTCTAAGCAGATTTTTGTGCAACAATTTTCTGTTAAAATTGAATTGGAGAGGAAGGGGAAACACAGGATGCTGCATTGGTAGAGACAGAAAAGACATGGCATGGTGGAGATTCTGTGGTATGGAGATCGACGGACTCCAAGTGAAGTGTCAGGCAAGAGAGACTTCCCGCACGATGAAGAGGAAGATGTCAAACAAGTCCATTTAATATGGGCTGGGATCGCCAACTTGAGAACGGACTTCCATTGTGAGAAACAGAAGGGTTTTCAAGATGAAAAGTTTCGAAGAAAATTGTAAGTTGTAATAATGGGTCCTGTTAATGGTTACGTGTAAGTGGAAGAGCAAGGCGTGCTCAGATAACGAACTCTTTCTTTGTAGGTAATGTTGATGTTATTTTTCAGTTCTATTTTACTGTATTCTTAGAAACGGGACTTCGCCCTGGCGTAATCATGGGTTACAAGCGGGAGGAATTTGCGTATAATGTTCACAACTGAATGAATTTTTGCATCGCGTTGTATTGTATTGTAAATCAGGAAAAATCATGACGCGTCTCTTTATATATTTTCTCAATCCTCACGTTACACGATATTCTATTCAAGCACTCTGTCTTATATTAGCTTACGTCTATGGTTTGTTTCGACAAATATATAAATTCAAGTAATGAAGTAGGCAGTTTGATATTTTCACTTTCATCGGGAAGCAAAAGGGATATATGTAACTTGCTAATAGAGTTTCAAGGGAGGAACTTGGTCAATGTTTATAAATAATTTAAAAAAATAGGAAACATAAATATTCCAGGAGTTTCTATGTGTGCGGATGAGACCGTGTTGTCCTCCAGAATCTATCGCGCAGAGCCGGATGCCACAGTGTGCTCCCGGCAGTACTTCAGCTTTAAGAGAAGCGGTGGAGGACAGCGCCATTCCGCTGGAGACCGTCGCAGTTACACAGTGCAGCCAACACCTCACACCCGTTTCCTCCAGGAGGGCATTGTGAGTCTTACCGTATTTCTTACCTTGACATACTGCACTAGCGAAAGAGACCCTTCTTCGAGTGCTCTTGAAATAAACGTTAGCCTATTAAAATAATTATATTCCTTGTTTATGAAGAAAGTGTTATGCATAGGCTTAAATCGCCTTAGCTGTAGTGATGGTCCCGCATGGCCATCTCTTGGTGTATTCTATGGGTCAAATCAGGACATCAGGACAGTTACAGATTATTATGTCGAAATTATGCATATTGCATCTGTATTCCTTAAAGTCTCATATTATCATATTGCCGAAATAATAAAGTGATTTAATAAATAGCCTCCGAAACATCTGGAATCAAATTTTGTGCACTTCGATGGTCGACAGTGTGAAGAGAAGACATATTCACGAAAGTATAAATTTTGACGCCTTTCGTTGTAAACTTTGATGTGAAGGCTTTTTTTTTGTTATGCATGCAATTTCTCTGTCATGGACGTTTCGACGTTGTTTCTAAGCTACAAATTGTGGTGTAAATTTTGATCTAGTACTAAATTCCATAGCATGCTGAAAAAGGCATTAGTTATTAAATAAATTAGATTAATGTTAATGTTATTTGCAAACGTAAAGACTCGTAAGGAGGTTGGTCTAGAAGTAAACACAGGGAAAATTAAGTATATGCTGCTGGCTCGTCGCCAACATGCAGGGCAAAATCATGACATAAAGATAGGAAACAGATGTTTTGAAAATGTGGCACAGTTCAGATATTTGGAAACGACGATAACAAATCAAAACCTGATTGATGAGGAAATTAAGAGGAGATTGAACTCTGGTAACGCCTGCTACCATTTGGTCCAGAAACTTCTGTTTTCTAGTCTGCTGTCCAAAAACATAAAAATTAGAATATACAAAACTATAATTTTGCCTGTGGTTCTGTGTGTGTGTGTGCAACTTGGTCTCTGACATTAAGGGAGGAACATAGACTGAGGGTGTTTGAGAACAGGGTGTTGAGGAGAATATTTGGACCAAAGAGAGATGAAGTGACAGGAGGTTGGAGAAAACTGCATAATGAGGGGCTTCACAACTTATACTCTTCTCCAAATATAATTAGAATGATCAAGTGAATGATGATGAGGTGGGCAGGGAATGTAGCACGAATAGAGAAGAAGAGGAGTGCATATAGGATATTGGTGGGAAATCCAGAATGAAAGAGACCATTGGGAAGACCAAGGCGTAGGTGGGTGAACAATATTAAAATGGATCTTAGAGCGATAGGATGGGATGGGATGTATTCGATTAATGTGGCTCAGAATAGTGACCAGTGGAGGGCTCTTGTGAACACGGTAATGAACCTTCGTGTTTAATAAAATGCTGGGAAATTCTTGAGTAGCTGCAGACTTGGCGGCTCCTCAAGAAGGGCTCAGCTCCATGAGTAAGTAATGAGTAAATAGTGTGACGAAATAGCTGATATTTTCCTTCAGTAAGGTTTCTGTCGGCCGGTCACGGTAGCTGAGCGGTCTAAGGCATGTACTGTCTTCGCTCGCTTGGAAACTGGTATCGTGGGTTCGAATCCCACCCAGGGCATGGATGTTTAGTTATTGTGTGTGCGTTTTTCTGTGTTTGTCTACAGGTAGAGGCCTTGCGACGAGCTGATCACCCGCCCAAGGAGTCCTACCGAATGTGTAAGATCTAGAAAAACCGAAGTGAACGGAGAAGTTCATGGAGGTAGGCCTAGGTACACTGGGGCTGTAGTGCCAAGGAAAAAAAAACGGTCTCTGTCGCCAGAAAATTGTTTCAAGGGGGAACATTTCTCTCCACGTTCCATGGAGCTAGGGACACCGCTGACTGCGACGGAAAATGCGAGTTTTTTCTTTTGACATGCTTGCTTTGACCTAACTGAATTTTTCCCAGGAGAGAAAGCGAACATCATTTGTACTTACAGAAATATCTTGCTGCCAGTAATTTCACAGATCTTCATTCTTTTATCCCTTCCCAAAGCTTTTGAACGTGGGTTTCTCTATTGCATATGAGATCCATTTCATCCAGTGTACTCACAGATCAGTGCACTGAATTGGTAAGCAGCCTGTAGGCCTGCTGTTGAGGTAATGTCATAATGACTTTCCTGTTATGTAGCTTCCATCGGAGGAAATCCAAGCAGAGTGCCCTAGAGCACAGGAAGGTCCTCGGACTTTCACTTGGAATCAACGTGGTTCTGGTGTCTATCCTCTGTGTCATGGCCATCGCCTGGGGTAAGTAAATTGCAGCTTCGTCCAGTAACGTACAGTGTTCCAAGGAAACCCAAGTAGCTGGTTGAGGTGATATCTTGGTACTGGTCTGGAGAGGCTGAAGAGGAAGGTGAGAAATCACAATCATAATAGTCAGGGCTCCGGCCGAGATTCGAGACGAGCCAGTCTCTAATACAAATCTAGAGCGTTACCGCTGTGCCAACCCGCTCGATCTTTCAAAACCTAAATAAAATTTCTGACATAGGTTATGTACCCGTAGTTCAAAAACCTACTAGCTGATGGCTACTGACATGACTCCTTATAACGAGTATAACAATATCAAATAATCTACTGGAAAATGCAACCGAATTAACTCCCAACTGTAGTCATATCAGTTATCATGATCATACTCCAGACACTAGCAAAGCATACGAAGATGTGACACTTACCGAAACAATTCTCGTGTAGTTTATACACTATCCTGAAGTGTGAAGTTTAGGCTACATGTCGTGAAGTTTGAACTAAGCCACAAGTATAAAGTTACCGATTCTGGAAAAAAGAACGACATTTCAATAACCGACATCAGCGATCTGTCGCTACTCAAACGTAAAGTCAGTAACACCGTCAAAATGAGGCATTGCATTTAACTGAGGTATGTAAGTAATTAAATTGACTTCAGCAAATATTTTCCATCTTCAATGGTGGATCCCGAATAATGAACACTTAAAGAATCTGTGTTGAGGCTTTCAGTGCGGTGATTGTTCAGATTGTGGTCTTCTGGGTTCTCATGCAGTTCAGAAAAGTTGGTATCCACACACAAGACCACACGGCGTAGCAATGCAGAAGAACACAATCTGAACTCAAGACGCATCTTGTGCTCTGCTCAGGATGTGTATGGAGCGGAATTAAACTCAGACGAGGATAAAGGCCGAATAAGTGACATGTGCATTTCACAATCACGTGACGGCCCACACAAGTTCCATTAACTGTCAAATTCGATTCCGAATGACATTCGTCTTGGAGTTAACAGCGGTCGTGGAACTTTTCCGGGCTCTCGTATAATAGGAACCGGATACAGTGTTGCTCACCAGCGAGTACCTGTAACCTACTGCGTACACATCCCGGATATGGTACAGGCACTTGTATATTTACAANGTAGAGGCCTTGCGACGAGCTGATCACCCGCCCAAGGAGTCCTACCGAATGTGTAAGATCTAGAAAACCCGAAGTGAACGGAGAAGTTCATGGAGGTAGGCCTAGGCCCACTGGGGCAGTAGTGCCAAGGAAAGAAAAGAAACGCTACGGACATAATTGGGTATGAATAATCATTAACCCTATAATACAACCGAAAGTACATTAACTATTTGGTATATTTATAGATCTTAGACAAGAATAGTTATGAAGACCCATCTTCTTACGAGATAGGACACTCGAAATTATGCAACAGTATTTTTTTATTTATAGCGGGGTGGGACTAAGTCTCTTGTGCTGGGGCCAATTCTGGCCTATTGTGCCAGCCCCAGATATTAGGTGAGGGTGACTGTGGAGCAATTGGTGGAATGAAGATTGGCAGGGTAAATAGAATTATTCGGAGAAAACCTGTCCCAGCGCCACTTTGTCCACCACAACTCCCACTTGACCAGACCCGGGATGGAACCCGGGCCGCCGCGGTGGGAAGCCAGCGACTAACCGCTTGAGCTATGGCGCGGCCCTTACGCAACAGTAAATAGGAACTTTCTACTTATGCAGTGTAACTGTACTGATTCTGCCTGAGATTATGCTAACACAGTAAACCAATAGGTTTCTGCAAGGGATTGCTGCAGGCAATACTAACTCTGCTGGTAAGTGGATCTGTCAGTAACAGATTCTGCAGACAGCTTTGACCATTTGCATAGAAGCTGTTCGCTCTGAAGAGCTTCTTGAAATCTTTTTTTATATTTCCTCAGAACTGGATGTTGTAATGTTATGACTGGAATGTGAATACCTGTAACCCAAATGATAGCGTAAAAGATGAAAATTAGAAAAGTAACTATATCGATAGTGACTTACTCATGCTTAGAAATTTGATATATTTTATTTTATTACAATAATTTTACTTACAATTTAATGGGAACATTGCCATTGAGAGATATCTCTAAATAAAGTGTATATCTTGATGAAGTATGTAGTGTGACGGTGATTTTAGTTGTATTGAAAATTATGGCATAGTATGCTTCATTTTTATGGTTTAATTACCTTTATGTGCAATACTAATTTAATTACACAATTATTGTTCTTATTTTTAGGAACAGAGAAGGAAACAGTTTCCGTGGATATTTGTCGAACCAAGGATTGTCTAGAATCAGGTAAAATGAATTAAGTTGAAAATAGTTCTAATTTTCATATATATGTTATTTCTTTCTTTATTTATTTATTTATCCTTGGTTTATTTGCGCAGAGTCTTGATGTTGCGCAGAGCGTCTCCTCGCATAACTTAACAATCCTTGGAATGAAAAAGAAACGTAACATCAAATTGAAATAATTTTTATTTTACAAACATTCAACAAGAGTTGGAACTTGTTTTTAACACGTTTTAGGAAAATGAACTGGAGAAAGCAATGCAACGGAGCAGTTACGTAAAAGTATCTGCATGATAATGACCTTATGAGGTCGAAACCCGCCGTAGGAGTAACGTTTATAAGAAAGTGATAATGTAGCACACCAGCGGTCAATGAGTACGACAGGAAGTTGTTCACGACTGTTCACGAAATTGTTAATCAGTGCAACAGGTTGTTAATGGATGATATTAATTTCTACATTATTAATGTACTTAGCCAAATCAGATACAGATAAATGTAGTTTTCTGAGCGGTTTCTAAAGAACCTAACAACTGATTACTACAACTAAATGTGAAATTTCATTATCATTACTAAGCCATTATAGCGTTACTCCTGTAAGGTAGCCTCAACATTTACATTTCTATTGCATATGAATTAAAAAGGGCAGCATTCATGATTCACATTCCAACTATCAGCTACGTTCCTGAAACAGCTTATCTTGATTCCCCATCTCCGCAGGATAGAACTTTCATGTAGGTCATTACAATTTTCTTCCTCATAACGTATTATTTCCCATTTTATTACTGCTTACCTTGTGTAGATGATGACTTCTTTGTTCCTCCGTACGTATGTTTCATCTCCAAATTCGTGGACCAGATTTCAACAAAATTTGGTGTAGGGTTTTTTAAATATTTGTTTACATAATTCTTCTATACCTCTATTTCATAAAAGAACTTATTAAATTTATCAGAAAATTCTTATCGTAAAATGAACCAATTGTAGTAGATAGGGAGGCCTACTTAATTAAATTATATTTATTCTTGTTTGAAATACATTTTGTTTCTGTGTAAAGAAATAAATAAAGATAACATAGAATTTATTGCTGATTAGCTTATCGATAATGATAATGATATTTTCGCAGAAGCATTTGTTAATGTCGAGACAAATGAAAAGTACTTAAGTCCTAAAGTCAGCATTTATAAATTCTGTTTAATCCAGGTGGATTATGTCTATAAATTTCCGCCTTTTTCCTTTCCGTTTCATATTCTTTCTCTTCCTTTCAGTCTATGCACCCTTCTCTTCGTTCGTTTTCCCGTTATTTCTTTCATCTGTAGTAGGCTAATTAGGGGTTTCTCACACTAAATATTTGTTTTATGTTTCTAATGACATTTTTTAAATATTAAATATTTTTTCTCGGGCATCCAGTATAACGTTAGCAGGTTCGTGACTTGTAGCCAGAGAATGAGTATGTCCTACGATTTATTCTGATTGCAGCGCACCGCTTAATATCTGCTGTAGACGAAGAGGTTGACCCCTGTGAAGACTTCTACCAGTTCGCATGTGGCAACTGGATGCGTGGACATATTCCGGACGAAAGGGAAATGATAGCCTCACAATTCTCGCAAGCAAAGAAGAAAATCAGGACAGAGGTCCAAGGTATGAAACACTACAGAGAATCGCCCATAAACTGAATGTAGACATGAACACTAAAATTGGTAATTGTGGCTGTAAGCATCATTTGCTTTAACGTCTAACAACTCTGTATTTAGCACACAAAGGTAATGTTAGGTTGTGCACTTCACAGTTCCGATGGAATGCTACCATTACTCGCTAAATTAAGGTTAAATACACCAGCAACCCATCTCCATAACATATACCTCCTCGGCCCATCTTACTTTCACCCCCCCCCCCCCCCCCCCCCCCNTTTCAGCCTTCAAGTGGATAAGTTAAAGATGTTTTCTACACCAGAGGCGTTGCTCCACCATACACACGTAGCCAGATCATCTTAGGCTCATAGACTGCACCGTCATAACAGTGCAAGGAATCTTATTTTAATCACGAAATTAGTAATTACGAAATGTCAAGAATTGCTCGCTTACTTCTGTCACCTAAGTTCTTTTATTTTCAGATATTTGCAATTTGGTATTATTTGTTTCGAACCTTAGGGTTCTGCTACCAGGGAGTTAGATGGTTTCTTTTTATTGCTAGTGCGGTGGGACTAAGTACCAATTCTGGCCTATTGTACCAGCCCCAAATGATAGGTGAGGGTGATTGTGGAGCAACTGGTGGAATGAAGATTGGCAGGGGAAACTGAAGTACTCGGAGAAAACCTGCCTAGCGCCACTTTGTCCACCACAAATCCCATTTCACCAGACCCGGAATCAAACCAGGCCCCGTGGTGGGAAGTCAGCTACTAACCGCTTGAGCTATGGCGCGGCCCGAGTTAGATGGTTAGCCAGGTAGAAAGTTCATTGTCATGTTTATAGAAGTCACCCTGGAATCTAATCTAAGACAATGTCCTCAAATTTCTCACAAATCCATGGCATTATTTTTCTTCAATCAAAACTAGATCTGCCAAGGAGGGCGTTGCTTTGAGGTTACGTGAGCATATAATAGTACTCATTTCTCAACCTCCAATGTACTAGATGTTCGGCCTATCCAACTCACCTTGACTCAAATGCTGTAATGGTTGCTTTATAACATAATTCACGCCGTCAATCAGGACGAAATTTTGTCATGATTGACGTTCTCTTTACTACGTGCTTCTTGTTCAGTACTAGTTAAGTGATTGACCGAATAAATAATTCCATGGAGCTGAATCATTCTTGAGAAGTCCCTAGTCGCTCAGCTACTCAGCAATTCCCCAAAATCATATGGAACCTAGAAGTTTATTACGGTGTTCACAAGAATCCTCCACCGGCCTCTATCCTGAGTCAGGTTAGTCCAGCACATACCACTCCATTCTTTCTCTCTAAGATCCATCTTTCCCGCCAAAGTCCTATATGGAGTCTTCTTGGTCTGTGCGTGTTACATGTCAAACCAATCTCAGTTTCCTTGACCTGATCATTCTGATCGTATTTGGTGAAAAGAACTAGTCATGAAGCTCCTCATTATGCACTTTTTTTTTCGAACCTCCTATTATCTCACCTCTATTCAGTCCAAATATGATCTTCAGCACCCTGTTATGAAAATACCCTCATTCTCCTCCCTTCCCATGATGCCAGAGACCAAGTTTTGTACCCATACAAAACTACATGCAAAATGAATATTTTATGGATTTTATTCTTTTCGTTTTTATGAAGCAGACGAGAAAGTTCTGAGCTGAACGGTAGCAAGCATTGCCAAAGGTTATCTAGTTCAGTACAACAGATAGATATGTTTAAGTCTGTAGAAAGCCTCGGTATAGATTTAGAACGTATTTTTAAGTGACTCAACATCCATTAAAAAATCGATATATTTCGCGCTGACGTCATGTTGGTTTTGTTACTTTTATAGAAACCGTATTAATAATAGAAGTGAGCATATATTTGTTAAGCCTCGCTCCTGGATAGACAAGTCAATATAGCGACCTGACTACGAGCTGGACGACCGAGGAATTACGGTTCGATTCTCTGTGGTTCAAGAGTTTTTACTTTGCCTCCAGCGTGCAATCAAATAGGTAAATTGGGATGAAGTGAAGTTGATTCCTCACATTTAACTGGTGCCGAGGTTAAGAACAGGTAGAACTATAATTCCATTCTCCTTTACATCTTCATAGTAGTGTGCTTAATTAAACATAGAGACGACTTTTATCATTAACAATCCTTATGCGAAATCTTAGCTATTGTTACTGGTGGATGATGCACCTCTAAACCATCAAAGCTACTGACCATTGTTGTTGTCCAGGATATTATTGAAGGTCGCGATATTTGTTTGCAGATATCTTGGAGAGCAGAGGTGAACCTGACGATTCGCTCCCAGTTCAGCAGGTAAGGGAGCTGTACAAGGCGTGCACAGCAACAGGTATGACTCATAAGGTACTTAGCATTACGTTACATATTATGATATTTCATGTAATGTGTTACGTTACCTTAAGTGTTACGTGTATCATCTATCAAGAACAGACTATAAATTGTATGTTAAATTCTCCTTGACGAAATATATCGTTTCGGTGAATATACGATGGAAATAAATATAAAGTTACTTCTAACGAGAAAAATTTTTTAGTGTTATAAACTAAAATGAAAAATAGCCACTTAACACCAAACAGCCTGTCTAAATTATTTCAGTTTCCTCTCAGCTTTTTCAGTGCTGTGCTGAAGAAAATGGCTGTTCGAGTAGAACAGGGAATAAATTTGATTTTGACCGTCGAAAGAATATTACACTGTACTGTAACAGGTTACCGGATAATAATCAGTAGAATGAAGCTGGAAATGATCATTTCAGTAATGCCGTATGAGCACGCATTTTCTAACTTCTATTTCTGATTATATACAGTAAATCTTCGATATATCGGACTAATGGGGGGGATATCCGTTATCACCGTCTGCTACATCCCACTGAAGGGGTATTTACGGAAGGAAGCCAGAAGATACATATAAACTAATACACGCAGTAAACACAGAAACACACAATGTGATCAAATGAAGGTTTTCACATTGGGGGTCTTTCTTGGCTACAGAACTTTCATTACACATGGAGCTGAGCCGTTCTTGAGAAGCTGCCAATTGTGCAGCTACTCAAGAATTTCCTAGAATATAATGGAATCCGAAGGTTCATTACAGTGTTCACAAGAGCACTCCACTGAGCCCTATCCTGAGCCAGATCAATCGAATCCATACCATCCCATCCGGCTCTCTAAGATCCATTTTAATACTGTCCACTCATCTACGTCTTGGTCTTCCCAGTGGTCTCTTCCCTTCTGGCTTTCCAACCAATATCCTAAATGTATTCCTCTTCTCACCCATTCGCGCTACATGCCCTGCTCATCTCATCCTCCTTGACTTGATCATTCTAATTATACTTGGAGAAGAGTACAAGTTATGAACCTCCTCATTATGTAGTTTTCTCTAACTTCCTGTCACTACATCTCTCTTCGGTCCAAATATTCTCCTTAACACCCTGTTCTCAAGCACCCTCAGTCAATGCTCCTCCCTTAATATTAGAGACCAAGTTTCACGCTCATACAGATTCACCGGCAAAATTATACCTTTGTACTATACTCTAATTTTGATGTTTTTGGACATCAGACGAGAAGACAAAAGGTTCTGGAATAAATGGTAGCACGCATTACCAGACTTTGATCTCCTCTTAGTTTCCTCCTGAATCAGGTTTTGATTTGTTATCGTCGTTCCCAAATATCTGAATTGTGCTACATTTTCAAAAACATGTTTCCTTTTTTTATATCATGATTTTGCCCTGCATCAGAAGTAAAATGGTATAAAATTGTATAAAATAAACGGGGGAAGAAGGGGACTAATTCAATTACAATAATGGAATTAACCTATTGGAACCGGGGAAATCCCCCCGAAACTTCTTGATGGTGTGTGGCTGACTCATTCAAGTTCGCTTGGTTAATCTGCTTGGTGCAACTGCATGTTACAGATGCCATTGAAAGTCTGGGAGTGAGCCCTTTAATTGATGCACTTGAAATGCTGGGCTTGCCAGGATCACTCCCATCTTCCAACACGACGGAGAATTTCAATTTGACGAAGACTTTGGCCATGATACAGTATCATCTAACAATAAGCGACCTCATAGTCACCGTGGGTTTCGGAGTTCATCCCCAGAACGAGTCTCGCAAGACGTTGCTAGTATGCCTACGCCGTTCTATACATTTAGCTTACTGATATAGGCAGAAACTTGGTTAGCTAACTAAGTTATTACGAGCCAGGTAGCAATTTCCTTATACATATTATGTGCCTAAGAATTTGGTTAGTCATTTTGATTGCTACGAGTAATTAGCTGCAAATTTATTTAAGTATGTAGTTAGATAATTAAATAGCTAGCTGCATACTTAGTAATTCAGCTGGATAATTAAGTAATTTAGTGTCTGAGTTAACCTTATCACAGTGGCCGTGCGGTCTAAGGCAAGAAATGCCTTTGCCGGCTAAAAGCTGGGATCGTGGCTTCGAATCCCACCAAGGCATGGATATTTTCCTACGTTTATTCTGTGTTCATGTTGACCTGTGTAGATAACGGCCTTGCTGCGGGCTGATCTCCCGTCTAAGGGGTCCTACTGACTGTCTAAATTTAAGAAACTGAAGTGAAACGAATCGTTTCATAGATGCCCTATGCTCCAAGTGGGAGCAACTGTAATAGATAGATGGTGTATGAGTTACATACTATAAAGTAATACGTAATTACTGTATTAGCAATGTAGTTTTTGGTGGGACGTAAGTTTAGTGATTAGTTATGTACCTCATTGTTTTTTCAGTGTGAGAGCCAGTCCGTTAGTAAGTAATTAATTGTTGAAGCTAGAAACTCCTCTAAATAATATTCACATTTTAATTTCCTACATCCCAGAATACACATTGCGCCTCCATTAAAAAACCAACGACTTAAAGTTGTTTAGGTGAATAATCGTTAGCTCATTTATTAAAAGGGGGGCACGTGGTAGCGTAATTTGTTGAGGCACTATGCTACAAGCCGGAAGGTCGCAGGTTCGAATCCCGATGATGTGGATTTTTTCAATTTACCTAATCCTTCCATCTTCATTATGTCCCTGGGGTCGACTCAGCTTCTAACAGAAATGAGTACCAGGAATCTTCATGGGGGTAAAGGGCGGCTGGCACGCAAGGCTGACAACCTCACTACCATCTGTTTGCCGGTTCTCTAGAAAATGTTGGAGCCTCAACCTCTCACAACCCTATGGGCCTTCACGGCCTGTTACAGGGACAGCTATTTATAAAAATAATCATACGAAGCAGATAAACGAATTTTAATGTCAAAACGCGGGATATTTGCTATTAAACAAAGTGGTACACAGTGTAACTACGCTAAGGGGCTACTATCTAATTATCTAACGCTGGTTAGTTACCTAATTACATAGGCTTATGTAGCCTCGTATTCAGCCAGCTCCTTAATAGTTAGGCAAATAGTTATTTCGGATAGCTGAGTGTTGTGACTTAAACTGAAACAGCTCTACCCACCTCGCGGACCGAGAGTGTTTATTGGCCTCCACGGCGAGTCCGTCGTGGGACCCGACCCTCAGGATTTCATGAAGCGCAAGAAGAGGTCCGCTTCAAACTTCGTGGAAGACGAGCTGCGCTACCGTAGCACAGCCATCGAGACCTTTGAAACTTTGCGGGACGGCAAACAACGGATAGAAGTCTCGGAACTGCGGGCAGCCGCCATGAAAACCCTGGTGCTGGAGGCCGAGATCAGCAGGGTAAAGTTAACATGAAATTACCTCTGAGCTTAAGCAGATCTCCATGTAAGCATATATGTAGGGCTTAACAAACCCATTCGTCCGTCATGAATCTCTTTCATTTTGAATTTCTCCACAGATATCGAACCGTAAAACTGAACAGTAGTGCAGTCTCCTTTAGTAAAGGTAAAAGATAAAGTTGTTTCCGTACTTAACTAATTAAGCACTACGCCATGAAGGCGTGTGGGGAAGTGGATGTACATATCCACGTTTTCTTGACCTCGGCACTAGTTGGAGGTGGGAGGTAAGTTTCACGCCCCGGTCGATTTACCCCGAGGAAGTTGCACAAGTACCCATAGGATGGGATGCTGGATGGGCAGCACGATCGGTCTGGGCGACATGGACAAGAGAATATTCTTGCCTCTTAGGGACTCGAACTCTAACTCATCGGTTATCCAGCCCGTATCCAGTCGTTATACCGACTGCGGTATCCTTTAGTACACATATTATATAATATAAGGGGTGATGTCTTATGTCTCGCTGGTTTTGAGTAATTGCAACGACGTGGATAGGCGCGGTTTCTTTTCTTGAAATATGCCTGCCGAGTAGAATTTGTTTCTGACTGGTGAGCTGAGCTAACATTTGTTGATGCCAGAATTTAGGTGTGCAGCCAGCCGTCCTGTTCACAGCTAATAAACCCTTTACGCACAACTACGTTACTTGTCTAGCAGCCGGGATAGCGTAGTCGGTATGACTGACTGCGGGCTGGACGGCCGAGTGGTCGGAATGCGATTCCAGGTAGGGGCAAGAATTTTCTTTTTCCACGTCGTCTAGACCGACTCTGCGGTCAACCCAACCTCCTATCCAATGAGTACTGGAGTTCACATCCAGGAGGTTAAACGGCATGGGCCTGAAGCGCACCACTCTCCTCCAGTTAGTGCCGAGGTCAAGAAAATGTGGATCTATACATTCATTCCCCCATACGCCTTCATGGTGTAGTGCTTAGTTAAGCACAGGGACAAATTTACCTCTTGTACATTGCTTGTCTACTTTTGTTTCCCGTGCCCCCTCTTGCCGTATTTTGCTAACGAAGTGGTACGGACCACGTATTTATATGACCTTTCCTACTTGCCTGTAAGTGTAAGACACTACTTATATACACGTATCTAAGGCACGTAATTAAAATCCATTCAGTATATACTACTACTATCATTCAAGGATGTACATGAAGAGTGCTCTCACGCCGTTTAGTCAGTTGGAGACCATATACTCCTCAGAAATGTTAGCGGGCTTCTGCAGGGCTACACTGTGTTACATCCCAGAAGATCGCACACGTACCTTTCATAACCAGCACCGTGAGAGCCTCAGGCCTAGAATATTCTCGTGTTATAAGTTATTTTTGCAATGGCATAATATTCATGCTGAAAATTGAAAATTTGTTTCAAAGTTCTCGAGGGAGACTCGCTCACAAGCTCAGACAGCATAGTGCCACCGTAAACCTGCTCTTGTCTTTAATAAAGGGAGGCAGGTTGGAGTTACTCGCACCTTCTTGTGCCTTATATGGTATTATTAAGAAAGCAAGCGAGCACAGTGTTATTGTGCAGCTGGGATGGCGTGTTACTGCATTTCGAGTAAGGTTTTCTCTGTTTCAGAAACAAGACCTGTCTGGCTTATATAGAATAATGACGCTTTCAGAGCTGCAAAATGAAACGGTTCGACATCTGCAGTTCCTAAATTCAGAGGACATCCGCAACCAGGTAAGAGCTGAAGAAGGAAGCGGTCTTGTCCCATTCGGTAGTGCTGACCATAATATGTCCGTCACGCCACATCTGCCAGAAGTTTTAACTTCTTCTACACGAATAGGCAGCCCCTTCTTGATGTTATCAGTTTCTGTTCATTTCCTTCGTCTTAAGCCGGCCGATAAGCAGGTGAGGAAATTAGGAAGAGGAGAAAGTACACGAGAAAGAAAAGACAGAGACAGAAGGACAGAAGAAGCAAGACAATGAAGTGAAAGAGGAACAAGGGAAAGACAACAATAGAAGAGGAATAGGAAGCACAGAAAGAAGTGGAACTACTGAGGGAACAAGATGGGGGCGGGGGGGGGGAACAAGAACTAAGAAGTTTCGGGAAAGGAGAGACGTGTACTGCACTGCAGATAATAGAACTCTGGACTTCTAAAGAGTACTTTCTTCTGGGATACGTCTTATAATCCGTTGAAAGTCAATCAAAGTTTCGGAGAAACATTTCAGCTCCATCTTCAGGGTCGAAAAATAAGCCAATCGAAAAATCAGAGTAAAAGCAAGTGACAAACAGCCGAACTTCAATTTCGCAACACATCACATCCCTGCCTGTGTCATCTTCTGACAACGTAGATATGAAACAATGCATGTGACGATTTATTTAAATTTTAATAGATAATCGATATAAGCTTTTTCTTCTTCTTCTTCTTCTTCTTCTTCTTATTATTATTATTATTACAATTTCATTGCATTAAAATAAAATGGAGATTGCTGTCCTCTGTAATGTAAGTCCGTGAGGTTTACGGAAGAACGTTTCGGAAGAAAATACAGTCTCCATTTACAGAGTAAAGAGGTTTCAGCCCTCCACCTCGGAGATGGAGTCAGCAGGACACTCAGAGACTTTTAGTACCTATCTACCAAACTCTGTGGCTTCACAACACAAAAGACAGTAATCCCCATCGTCAACCGTTACTGTAATTTAACAATATTTCTCTATATTAGGAGCCGGGATAGCGCAGTCGGTATAGCCACCGGCTACAGGCTGGACGACAGAGAGATCAGAGCTCAAGTCCCGGTATGGTCAAGAATTTTCTCTTCTCCACGTCGTCCAGACCGGCTTTAGGGTCCACCCAATCTCCTCTCCAATGTTTACCGCGGGCTCTTTCCACGGGTGTAAAGCGGCTGGGGCGTGAAACTGACCACTCACCTCCAGCTAGTGCCGAGGTCAAAAAAATGTAGGTCTATACATCCATTCCTCCATAAGCCTTCATAGTGTGGTGCTTAATTAGTTAAGCACAGGAACAGCTTTACCTTTTACATATTTATATTTTACACAGTCTCCTGCCACTTACAATATTTGTAGGCTGTGCTCTTTCAAATGGTTTCTCAGAATGAGTTGAACTTTACGGATCAACTTCTGCGTGACATTGTAGCCACGAAGACAGCACCTTCAGGCACTATTTTACTCCGAAAATTAGTCTTTTATTGCACTGGTGCATTACTATGTATCTTTTTGGACTTCCAATCGACATCCCTGCATTTCTACTGGATATTTTAACGGAATCTCTCAGCAGTCACTTGTGAACTGTTCCAGATAGATTGGGAGTTGTTCGTACGGACATTGCTCAAGGACGTGGGGGTTGTGCGTGAGGAGTTTTGGAATCCCTTACTGGTGAAAGACTCAAAGTACTTCCAACAACTGGCTACCATACTCGCCAAAACCAAGACAGAGTCAATACGTAAGTTATGATGTATTTTGCTATTTTGTGCTCTGCAATACTACGGGCTGGATTACGGGAAACTTGACACAAAGCCATCCCTACACACAGAGTTTCTCAGGCAGGTGGACCATCTCGATCTTGAGATCATTTTCGCTTTTGGCACATATATACGCTGTCCTTCCGATTTAACCCATGTAATGCCATTGTGTTATTTTTCACGAACAGACCTAGGACGCACTAGAAGACAAGGAACGCAAAAAATCCGTTGCTGCAAATTTTAAGGAACAAGTTTCAACTTACGACATGTACATACCGTATAATATGTGTACCTTTCAGATATGACTTTTGCTGTGATGTAATCTTGTGAGTATAATGCATTTCCGTTTGATGAAGTTTGATATTTATAAATTTTATTAAAATCGTTTATAATTTTCAGAAAGACTAATATGGTGGAAAGTTGTGGAACATCTGATGGTGTTTTCCACGCAAGCATTGAGGAGATTGCGGTATATGAAAGCCGGAGACTACAGGATCGTATCCAGGTCAGATCATATATATTCTAAACAAAGATTTAATAAATACATTTACGTACAGAAACTCGGGACAGGACAGTGGAGCATGATGGAATGCTAAATCAGAATACGCCATATATGCATTATAATTTATATCATTAATGAAATGTTAATAGAGTGGTCAAATCGTGAGGGACGAATAGCAGCTCGCATGGGGGAGACAAGGAATAAAAAACGATACAAATTTTTAAGTAGGAAAACCCAACGGAATAAAACGCATGGAGGACTAACTCATAGTTGGGGGGAAAATTTTTTAAGTGAAGTATAGAGAATGTAAAGGTGAGGACTGGATTAAACTGGCAGAGCGCAGAGCCTACTAGACCATTCTTGTGCAAGAAATGACGAACTCGGCTTCTAAAAAGAAACGAATTTATTGAAAATACTGTGACGAATGAGTCACTGCTCACACATTAAACTGCATTCTGACTTGACTATGACGACTGCCTTACGAATGAAGCTCTCGCGACTGAAATTTGCTGGACTGAACTAACTTCCAGGCGTACCGAATATCGGTCACCATCTCAAACGGTTCGCTAATTCTGTTATTATTTTTGTCCACTACTAGGAAACGTAGCAGCATGTTACTATGCAACGCAGGTCTTCCTGTTGACTGCGTTGCCTCGAGGATGTGTTTACTAAAGCGTTGCCTATCAAGTGGTCATATTCCGTAACAATATTAAGACATAAAAGTTTCGTCAGCAACAAGAACATGGGTAATCCTTGAAGAATGCTGTCTTCTGGGATATGACGCCACCTGTGGTAAAATTTACAGACGTTTCGGTGGAACATATTGCTTCCAGCTTCTACCCGACAACATAATATTAGATTGCAGAAGATAGTAGAGCACTCTTCATAGTCAACACCTTAATAACCTCAAATCCAAATGAGGAAATCTTGTGCAGAAACTGAATGTACTTTTGAAAGTGTGTGTGTGTGTGTGTGTGTGAAGCCACTTACTGGAACTCTGTAATAGTAACTACTCTGATCATTGACTTGCAGGACAGATGAGTGTTTGCAGGTAATAGACAAAACGATGCCTATGGCAGTGGCCTACAAGATTGCTACTCAGCCTAAAATGAACCATACCAGACAGAGGGTGAGTGTAACGTTGCAGTTATTTTGGCTCCTGCTTCTGTCACAAAGCGAAATAACTCTCATTCCTGTAGATACACAACAAAATATTCTCCTGTAATTATAATAAATTTCCAATATATATTATATTATGA